TGCAGTAGCGGCTGATATCGAGGAGATGTTCATGCAGGTTAAGGTCCCCGAAGGGCAAAGGGACGCTCTACGGTTGTGGTGGTTGCCGGATGGAGACCTAGACGGACCTGCCCTAGAGTATCGGGTGAGGCTGCACCCGGTTGGCGTGATATCCTCTCCCTTCTGTGCAAACTTCGCTTTAAAAACGACCGTGAGCAAGTTTGCTCAGCATTTCGAAACCCCAGTGGGCTCCTGTGTTGAACATAATTTTTATATGGACGACTTCCTGCGATCCTTTGATACCATGGAGGAAGCAGTTCGACACATAAGGGATCTATCCAAGCTACCGCTCATGGAAGGGTTCAAGTTGACCAAGTGGATGTCCAACATTCGTCATGCAATCGATTGCATCCCAGTTGATGAGCGGTCACCGAGTCTCCGTGAATTGCAGGGGAGTCCGTTACCAACAGATCGAGCATTCGGTGTGCAATGGGATTCGGTGAAAGACGAGTTTCTGTTCCAACTACAGTTACCTGAGACGACAGCGACTCGCAGAGGCATTCTGTCTTCATTGGCCAGCCTTTACGATTCAATGGGGTTCGTCGCACCGTGGCTACTACCGGGCAAGATTCTGCTGCAGGACCTGAGTAGAAAAAAGGTCAATTGGGATGAGACCCTATGCGAGGCGGATCACAAGACCTGGCAAGGCTGGTGGCTGATCCTATCCAAGCTGGGCGACATACGACTCCTTCGTTCCATACCAGGAATGCACAAAGGAGAGCACAGTGAGTTACACGTTTTTTCGGACGCTTCGGAGGTGGGATACGGGGTGGTGGCCTACGGTTGGTCGCCTCGACCAGGACGAAGAATGCATAGGAATATTTTTTTCGCAAAGGACAGGGTTGCCCCTCTTAAGCCAGTCTCAATATCCAGGCTAGAACTGGCCGCAGCAGTATTAGCCGTGAAGGTAGCGAAGGTGCTTAAAAGATGTTTTAACTCGATTGAATGGATGACAACCTACTGGACCGACTCCACTATAGTTCTTCACTACGTTAGCAATGTACGGACGCGTTTCAGCACGTTTTTTGACAACCGGTTGGCTGTTGTAACTCCCAAATAGATCAACGAGCGACGCGTAGCCGAAATTGGATCCCAAAACGTCAACAAAACGAACGATCCGGCAAATTTCTACGGTACTGCATTATTAAACGATCGAATAAGCAAATAAAGAC